GGCCTTGCTGGAGGAGGTCCGGTCTCTCCAGATGGTTCCGTCGTACCTGGTGCAGCCGCTCCGAGCCAACTCCGCCACGCACCTGGCGCTGGGGCGGGCGGCCCTCCTGGCCCGGCTGCTGGAGAGCCTGGGCACCGAGGGCTCGGGCCTCAGCCTGGACGCCGTGATGAAGGTGCGCGGGGGCGCGGGCGGGCGGGGCGGTGGCCATGGTGTCCGACAGGGGCCGTCTCCCTCCGACAGCTGAGCGCCCGGCGTTCTGCCGGCCCTCAGCTGGACCCCGCCCGCTCGCTCCGTCGGCCGGAGTGAGTGTCTGGAGAAAGCGTCTCGTGGCCTGAACGAGGTGACCCTCGGGAAGCGTGGGCGCTTGCCAGGGCGACCAGCTCGCGAGGGCCGACGTTCCAGCCCCAGCCCCGCCGTCGCAGGAAGGGGAGCTGGCTGATGGCGCCTCCCTGAGAGCCCGAGAGCTGGTGCCCGAGCCCGGGGCTGCTGGCGGGAGACTTGGGGGGCGGCCGCCCCCCCCAGCCGGGTGTCTCTTCCATCGGCTGCCCCCACCCCGAGTGCCTGGTCATCATCCACGTTGGGGGTGCCTTGAGCCACGAGCTGCTCAACAAATCCCTGGAGCCTGAGAGGTCCCAAGACCTCTGTCACGGGCAGTTGGTCGGAAGTGGGGGGCACCCCGAGTCTGGGGCAGGCACCCCAACCTACAGCCACGGGCCAGGGGCTGTCAGCCCGGGGCTGCATCTGGAGCTGCAGTGGGTGGGTCTGGAGCCCGCGTCGGGGGTCTGTGAGTGGGGTCCCAGGAAGCCGGCTGGTGAGGGCAGGCCTCGGCACCCCCAGCCCCACCGCTGCTGGAGTTGAGGCGCAGGGCACACCCCTGCACAGCAGTCATGGGCCGCGCCATGCACACAGGCCCAGCCTCGCCGGGAGAGCAGTGGCTCTGTGCTCCGGCCACCAGCGACGCCACTGGGGCGTTGCGCGCAGGCACCGGCCGTGCGGGTGCGCAGGGTAGCCAGGGCCCCGCGCGGCCTGTCGCCCCTCCCCTGCCCAGGCGTGTGACGGCGCTGGCACCTTGAGCGCGCTCGCCGGGGTCCCGGGGCCCCAGCCCGTCCCCACACGCAGTCCTGGCCGCCCTCAGCCCCCAGCCTGTGCCCGCTCACATGGCCCCACCCTGCCCTCTGCTGCGCATACCTGTCCTGCCGCACGCGTCCACTCCGCCCGCCTGCTCAGTGACCTGGGCCCGCCCCCAGCAAGGCCCCTGGGGCCCCTGTGCGTGCAGGAAGCCCCCCTTCCTGCTCCCCAGCCCCACCCCGCCTGTTGCTCGACCTGCCCGTGGCCTGCCTGCCCTGCGTGCACGGGCCTCCGCCGGCCACCGCCCGGGGCTCGCTGCCCACTGGGCCACCTCCCCCCCACTCACCTCACTGAGGCCCTGCCTGCACCCCCAGCGCTGGACAGCTGCCTGGACACCCCCAGGCCAGACACCGGCTCCCAGGCCCTGCCTGCCTCCGCGGCAAAGGCCCTTGCTGAGGCGCTGGGACGGCCCAGGCTGGCCGCGCCCGCTGCCTCCCCAGCGCGGTGCCCCCAGCCCTGGGCGTGCCGCGCGCGTGTGCACGCCGCCTGCACGCAGCTCGCTGCAGGTCCACATGCCCGCACATACAACTCACTGCGTGCACACAGCTGCACTCGGCGCACGTGCACACAGCTCGGTGCGCGCGCACGTCCTGCACCTGTGCGCGCCCCCGTGCGCACGGCCCGCGCCATGCCCCTGTCCGTGCACACGCCCCTCGGTGCTTG